AGTCACACGTCTAAAATAAAGCTGCCCTGATCTTCTAAGAGAGAGACAGGGAGGCAGAGAATACACACTCCGCCAGGCATAAAGCTTACTTGTCTCCATCTGCTTCCATGAGTTTCTCAATACAACTTGTACTCCTTCAGTCATTTAACAAACATGCGTTGAGTCACCAGTACACACCAGAATTTAAAATATCTGACTTCATCGCTGTAAAAGACGCCAGCCCTCCAGCTGAGAACTGGGGCTACCAGGGTGAATAAATATGGGATGACGCTTAAGAACAAGAGTCTCGCGGGAAAGACACTACTTTGTTCCCTAGTTTGGGATAACGTTTTTGGTTAAAGTGAAGGGCAGGAAATGATGGAATCATCCAGCTCCCAAGATAGTTAGAATCTTCTAGGAACCAATGATCATATTTGAGGGAAGAAGATGTAAAAGGACGGGTCCAGGATGGCTCACTGCTTCCTCCTGGTGGAGATCAGTAGCAAGCACATCAAACAGCTTCCTGAGTCTTCCCTCAACAGGGGCACCCGGAGCCAGGAGCTAGGTTTGTAACTGCACCTGCCCTACGGGAGGTCACAGTCAGATGAGGGAGGGAGGCCAGGAAACTGACAACCGCTGTAAGACACAGTCAGTTGGTGACAGACTCATTCATTCATTCGTTTGTTCATTCATTAATTCATCTATTCATTCAACAAAGTGCAGAGGCTTTGAGGCAGGAGTTGGGCTTGAGGATAAGCAGGGATTCACTGGGAAAACAAAGAGAAAGGGAATTCTAGGCAGTGGTGCCAGGAGCAAGATGTGAAATCCATGCCTGATCCAGAAAACTATGTAACTAATAGACTTACCCAATAGTAAGGCTCGAAGGGGAAATGTGAAGAGTTCCGGCTCCAAATAGAAGCCAAATTCTGAGGTTTCTTTGCAACCCATGAAAAAGGCCATGTACTTTAAGCCACTGGTGATTTGCATGGGCTACATGTGTTAAAAGGTGTATTAATTCAGAAATATTGGGGTGCCTGGGTGGCTCAGTTGGTTAAACGTCTGCTGTTGGCTAGGGTCATGATCCCAGGGTCATGGGATGAAGCCCCACATTGGGCTCGCTGCTCAGCAGGGAGTCTGCTTCTCCCTCTTCCTCTGCTGCTCCCCCTGCTTGTGCGCACAACCGTGCTCTCTCTCTCTGTGTCAAATAAATAACCTTTAAAAAAAAAAAACTCTTTTAATTCAGAAATATTTACTAAGTCCCTACAGTGTACCAGATATTGATATCAGGCTGGGAATAAAATGGTGAGCAAAAAGAGGTCCGATCCCTGCCCTTTTGCAGCTTACAGTCTGGTGAAGGGATAGGCACCCACTTTTTTAAAAAAAAATCACTCCCCCAAAAAAGGTCAAAATTTAAATTAAAATGTGACGAGCAGCCCTGCTGCATACAGGAAGAGCAGAAGTAAAGTATGACACCAAGGAAGTTCAGAGCTGGGTGTGTAGACAAGACGGAGTTAGGGGTCTCCAGAAAAACAAAGATGAGGTACAGCTTCCTTAACATCAGCAAAGTCATGTGAGGACCCCGGCTGTTTTATGATTGATGCCTGGCTGGCGTTATTTGCACAAGCATGTTTCTCGAAGAACTTCCCGGGATGCGTTAAAATTGCAAAAAAAAACCAGACCTCGGCATTTAGTGATTTTCAGGGAACAAGAAAATGTAAAACACAAACAGCCACTACCAAGCCAGGACATAGTCTGACCACAGCAGAGACAATAAATCAGTAGTAAAACTCCCAGTGCTTTTTCAGAAGTCAAGATTGACCTAATGCCCACTCTTGTGTCATTTTTGCAGGATTTAAACCACTCTGAGTGCACAAACACAGGGCTAACTGGAGTCGGAGTGCTGACGATGAGACCCAGGCTGGCCCGTGATTTCAACCAACTAGGACCTGGACTCCTGTCACCTTAGGATGACTTTTGTCCCAATTCTAGACTGAACCATCCTTTGCCAAAGTCCTGCGTGAATACGCACACACCTGCAGCTTAAAACTCCCCCAATTCTGTTGTTGGGAGAGGCTGTGCTTGCAAAGCTATCTCCCTACCTCTTTCCTCGTAACCAGTAATACAAAGTTCGTCGCTTCCAACACCTCCTTGGGTTGTGCAATGTAATGCACCCCACATGGCGCTGAGTTGAGCTGCTCCCCATGCTGACCTCAGCACCAAGAGCCGTAGGATTTGGACAAATGTGCAGCACTTGGCCACCGTTGCCAAGGTCCCAGTGGCCATAAGACTGGTATCAGAGGCAGGACACTGTAGACGGGATCTGAGCTGCCTGGGAAGGGTTGGTAGAGGCAGGAGGATGAAGGGGAGCGGAATTTGCTACCCCAAGATATGTCCCTTTGGCCTAAGGGTTATTTTAGGCTGATTATTTTGAAGAAACAGCAGACAGAGGGGAAGCTCTGAAACCCAAGTAGAAGTTGCACTTTTGTAAAAGACATTGACGTTGATAAGGGAAACCTCCATGTATAAGGGTGTCTCCAACTCCTATCAGAAGGGTGACTCTAAATCTCTAGAAACTTCTATCAGTGGAGAAGGCAGAGACTTCTGTACAACCACCTTCCCCTTGTTAATCGTGCTTTTCCTGGTCACCTCCCGTAACTGCCTCTCCTCCCCCCACCCGGCCCCGCCTAACCCTCTCTTTTGTCTTTAGCTAGAGAAGTGATTTAAGGTGATGCCTTGGGCCACTCTGAGGAGTTACTCAGTTTCCCCAAGGCTTTTCCACATATACAGAAGGTATCCATGTTAGTAAACCTCTGTTTTCTCCTATTAATCTTTTATTACAGGGGCCAACTCAGCCAAAGATCCAGAAGGATAGAGAGAAAAAAATTTTCCCCCACCAGGGTAAAAGAGATCACTGTCTTTCAAACCATGGCTCACACCCTGTAAGTGAGGTGTGACATGAAAGTGATGGGTCATTACCAGCATTGGGTAAGTGATACAGAATGAAACAGAAAACAATGCAAAATACCATGTATAGTAAGAATGAGTTTGATGGTAATTCTCTATTTCACAAGAATCATTTCAGGTGTGTGTGTGCGTGTACAGAGCTGCAATGTAAATCCAATTCAATTCTGTGCATCTTGATCAAAAGTGAAAACCACCAGATTAGAGGCCCTCTCAAGGTCTCGCCTAGCCCAGGATGTCACCAAGGATGAGTGCTCAGCCTGCGGAGGGTTGACAGAAACACCTGTCTCAGGCAGAGCAGGAGGCCGGCTCTACTTATAAGAACTTCACCAAACTCTGACGGGAAGATGTGAACTCGGAAACGCAATTAAGCACCCAACCTCAATGTTCACTCTCATGTATCATGGGGGGCAGGGGTGGAGGAGCAGGGAGAGGAGTAAATTGATACAAACTTTCTGGAAAGCTACCTGGTAATGTTCACCAGACTATCTGGAGGCATTTTTGTTTGTCATGACCGGAATTGGGAGGAAAGAGGATGATACTGGTATCAATCTCATAACTGAGGCCAGGGATGCTGCCAAATATCCTTCAATAAGAGGACAGCCTCTGACTCAGGGTTCATTTTGATGATGACCGTAGCTTTGATAAGGATGTGCTAGCAAGAAAGAATGCAAAAGGGCATGCACCGGGGGGCGGGAGGGGGGGAATCCGGGCCAATGACCTGTTTCAAATATGTTCTCTTTCATTCCCTGCTGTATCCCAGCCCTGTTGGCACATAGTAGTCAGGAAATAACTTGTTGAATGTTCCATGTTGAATGTTCCAAAGGCTTCTATGGCTAAGCAGCTGCCTGACGGTTCCAGACTGAGGTCCTACAGTGACACCTAGTGGCGGAAACTGAAACCACGCAGAGAGACCAGATTTAGCGGGTGTTTGCAGAGCTGATCCCTTCCGACTACAAAGGCCCCAGAATTTGCGGGGAAATCATGAGGCTAGTGAGAAGCAGGCAGCCTCAAGAGGACGATATGTGATGTCCTGCTAATAAAGGCAAACAAGGGTTTGAGCAATTAATGGGAAAGATCAAAGAAAGATGACGTGATAAAAGAAAAAAACAAGCCCAGGGGTGCCTGGGTGGCTCAGTCCGTTAAGAAGCGTCTGACTCTTGATTTCAGCTCAGGTCTTGATCTCAGGGTGGTGAGTTCAAGCCCCACATTAAGGTCTACTAAAAAAAAAAAAAAATTCCCAAAATGGAGTCATTCACCCCCACAAGATAGCCAACCCAGACTTAATTAGTTTTAACCTCTCAGGAAACCCTCTCTTTTGTTTTGCTAATAAATCTTGCCCTACCCTCTTGCCTATAAAAACCTTCTCTTGTGCAACTTCTCTACTTGCTAGAAGGGATTCTGCCCGATTCATAACTGATCTCCAATTCATCTGGTTGAATTTTGTTTTTTTTAACAATTTGGACCCCAAGCTGATAAAACAAGTCACAGAGGTTATTTAATTAGGTGGGGGGGGGGAGTTTCAAAATGTGCATGAATAATCCTAATTTTATTGTTTAAAAAGAGGAAGCACATACCCATTTGTCTGGAAGGATTACACCAAAACTTTTTACCAAAATGACAATGGTAGGTTCCCTAGAGGGCAGAGCTTGGGACAGTTTTCTTTTTATCTATTTTTTGTTTTTACACTGAATGTCTATTGTTTATGTAAAAAAAAAAAAAAAAAAAAGTTAGATGGATGTGGACCCAAAATGCAAAGGCATTTAAGAATGTCTAAGGTACAAAGACCCTGATCACCTATGCACACCTTGGATTTCCATCTCTGGGCCCTTATTATCCAGAACCAAATGCACTATAACCTCAGCGCTCCCTTGAGTATGAGCTTCCAAGAACTGCCCTCACCCCTTCTGGCTTCCGAATCCCCTCTTTTCTCTGCTCGTGAGTGATATTTACCATCCAAAGCTGACTGTCTCATCCTGGCCTGCAGCACAGGCACGGAAATCGGGAGGAACCGAAGCCGATGTGTTGGGGACCAGTCTCCATCCCCCGGGCCTGCTCACCTGACATGTGGACATTCCGGAGGCAGGACAGGGAGGCATTGAGACGGGCGCACTCCTCCCGGTTGGCTCCGTATTTCTCCACGGTCTCACACACCTGCTCATCTGTCATCTCTAAGAGGTCCTCCAGACTCAGCTGGCCGGGGGTGATTTCCTAGAGGAGGGAAGAAAGGATGGTAAACACACCTCAGGAGCCCGGAGGGAAGGTGAGTGGGCTGAGCCTCCACACTGCCATCTAGCGGTACCTAGGGGAAATAGGCCTGGGTTTGAACCTCAGCTTTGCCACTCATTACCTCAGGCAAGTCACTTACCCTCTCTGAGCCTCACTTTATGCACCTGTACAATGGAGGTCTTAAGTGCGCATACTTTGTAAGGTAGCCCCTATCGTTAGCACACAGACAGTGGTCCGTAGATGGTGGTAGTTAATTATCTGTCCCCCCACCCCCGCCGTACCTTCTGAACTCCTTATGGGCGGGCTCCACTTTCCTCGTCTTTGGATGGCCCTCTGTGCCTCCTGCTCAGCTTGGCTTGTCCCCAGTACAGGGTGAACTAAGAGCAGAGCCTATGGATAGCCCAAGTCTCCTGATAGCTGTCTTCCCTGGCCACACCTTCTAGGGTCTAGATTGGGGGGTTAGGACCCAAAGTGGTGGTAAGCTGGAATCCTGTGGGTAGCTCAGCGCTGGAAATGAAACTGGATTTGTGTCTGAGCCCCAGAGGGCACGGCTTTGCATTCTAAGACAAAGTAGTAAGGCTGGAGTATAGCATGGGGTGGGGACAGAACATTTCTGGAAAGATGGGCTGAGAACAGAAAAGGTAGGATTGCCAGCTATAAATGTCCCTTCACCACCACCAGCAGCCACCCCCCCTCCCCCAAAATGATGTCCCCGGACACCATAATATAGATACACCTTGAAATTTGTCAAACTTTGATATTTATGCATCTTTATGCATCTATATCCATATGTGTATATAAAATGGAGAGCCTTCATTTATAGCAGCTAATGGTATCCAATGTTTTTACATATATTATTTAAATAACTAAAAATGGAGATTCTAGGACAATATTGTAGGGTACTTCTGCCCTCTTGTGGCCATATCTGCGTATTACAACAAAATCAGACACCTTCCCCTGCTCCCCCCCACCATTCCCCAATATAGACATGTAACTGGCAGCCAGAAGGAGGAAAACTTCTTTCCCCGCCTCAAAACAGATGCAGAGCAAAAGCCATGAAGCCAAATCAGTGCCTTTCCAACTCACTAGGGCAGGGAGCGGGAGAAAACAATACTTGAGTCATTTAGGGCTTTTCTCAAATAGGGACACATGGCTCGCAAAGCCCACTTTAAGAAAAGTGATGGTCCAGGATCTGAAGGTACAAAAAAAAATGACATTAGGAGGGACTCATTCACAACCCAAAAGAATTCTCCTCTTTGCTGCAGGATTCACTTGTGCATTTTAATCCTATCATTTACTCCCCAAATACTAAATCTCCACTGAAATTTGGGGTCACAGAAAAAAAATCACAAAAGTAATAACTACATAAAAAATGGACAAAGCCTAAAGAAACCCGGACTAACAGAGCAGATGCACTTCCGTTCAATAAAGTGATAATAAGCGAAAATGAAACGGATGGGGCACTGTTTTAGGGGCTTTTCTTGGGTTTTCTTTAAATGTCACAAAGACCACATATAGTAGTACTTTCATCGTCGTCATCATTGGTCTGTAATTAGGACACTAAAATTCAGAGAGGTTAGACCACCTGCACAGGGATGCACAGCAAGTAAGTTTGAACCCAGGCTGTTACTTTGGAGCCTTCGCCATACTGCTGGTTCCCCCTCAGAAAGGGGACCTCTGGTGGACGCATGCGGGAGCTGCAGGCAGAGAGCTGGAACCCCAGCTCCTCCCCATCCCCTGGTTGGTGGACCCAGGATTCTAACAGCCTAAGGTAAAAGCCAGAGCTGGGGCACCTGCAGGCCAGGTAAATGAACAAAACTGCCAACTAGCAGGAGCCTGCATGATCCGAAGGGGCAGCAGAAATCAGGTCATTGCCACCAGATGGAGATTCAGTGCCTTGTGTTCAGCCATTCGGCTTTTTCAAGAGAAGCCAGAGATCTGGGGGGGTTTTATGCAAACTCTTTATGCATTTAAATATTGGCTCAAAAAAATTTTTTTTTGCGAATACCGTATCAGACAAACAAAAGTTGTCTGTGCATCAGATAAAAGGAACAGCTTGGAGGCCACCAGATTTCAGCCCCTGGCTAAGATTTTGTCTCTGTATTCACCCCGCTTGATAAATAAATGGTCCCAAAAGCCTCTAAAAAGTGGATTGGCCCTTGCAAATAAAATGTACTGTCTGTAGTCATACGTGACCTTTCATTTTAAGGATATTCACATGAAAATTCCATCCTGGGAAGGAAATAAAGGAACATAGAATCATACACCATCAAATGAGCATGCGTGAGGTTGGGGCAGGGGCAGGGATGGAGGAATGTGTGGGTCCTTCATCTAGCTCAGCATCTGGTGGCTTCAGGCGAGCTCACATAGAGGTCAAGGTCTGAAAAAGACAAAAGGTGGAAGACAATCTTCCGGGCCTCTTCAAGCAAGAAGAAGGGTGCACCGTGAGAAATGGCACTTGGTCCTGCAGGCAAGGGGGACACCCCCTTGTCTACCTAGCTCAGCAAGTCCCCAGCAACAGACAAAGGAAGAGAAATCACAGTGCTTCCCACCTGCTCCAGAGTCCTTCTGAGCTGCATTCTCCTGCCAGCCCCATCCACTCACTAGCAGGGGAAGTCGCTTCATCTCTGAGCCTCAGATTCTTGCTCTGCACAAGGGGGATAATTGTCCCCACCTCAAAAGACCATTGTGAGGGTCTGAACAGCCTCAACAGTTGAGATCCTGGGTGTAAAGCCTTTAGGACAACTCCTGGCCGCAAATATTCAGTGACCGGTTTTATTAGGAAGGACTGGACACTGGAAAGAGTGGGGACCTGGGATCCAAGAGGGTAGGAAAATCTCACTATCCTTGAGATTTTAAGGATGTGGTCCATACCTGTTACTTCCAAAGCTTTCAACGATAATAACAAGGTGACATTTGCTGAATGCTATTAGGTGCCCAAATATGAGCGGAACATTTTAGATGGACCATCTCATTATATCATTCTAGCTACTTCAGAAGAGGAGACAATCATTACCCCCATTTAACAGATGAGAAAACTAATGCCCTCAGTCGGTGGTGTCCAATGTGGTGGCCACCGGCCACATTAATTAACATTAAAGACAATTAAAAATTCAGTTCATCAGTCACATGCACTAATCACAATTCAAGCGCCCAAGAGCTCCTTGGGGCTGGCGGCCACTGCATCAGACAGCACAGATATAAAATATTTCCATCATTGCAGAAAGTTCTGCTGGACAGCCCCGGATAAAAGGTAACGTGACTTGGCCAAGGTGACTGAGCTAATGAGTGGCAGAGCTGAAAGAGGATCCAACTGAGCATAGAACCATATTCTTAACAACCCACTTGGACAGCATCAGAGGTCCTCTGCGCCTTCCTCCAACACATATTTATTGGGGGCCTACTATGTGCCGGGCACAGGCAAAAACCCACTGTGCAGGGGGCTGGCTTCTGGCCGGTAAGGGGCAGGGGCAGGGGCCGGGGGCCATCTCCAGTCACCTCCAAGACTTCCTTGCGCACATCGACGATCCGGAACCAGTGCCGGAGCTGGGGGAAGCCGTCCAGCTCAGCGTTGCGCTCCTGAAGGGCCACCTTCTTTTTGCAGGACAGCTGACGGCTGAAGTACTTCACCAGCTTGCTCTGCGGAGACACAGATGAGGACAGAGGGCGGGTCTCAGAGGCACAGCCAAGGGAGGATAAGCAAGAATCTCCCCACGGCCCCCTCCCCGCCCGAAACCCATCCAACGCCTATGTTAAAGACTGGTTTGACTGCAGGGAGGAGAGGCACGCAGGAGTGTCACTTCACTGGGGGGCCTTTGGGCTGCAATCATGTACATTTCCACTGCATAGATCCTTGGACCCAAAGACTCCACTTCTAGGAACTCACCTAGAGACGCCGTCCTGGGCAAGAGGACTATAAAAGAATATTTCTTACAGATTGGCAAAAGATTGAAAACACCCTGAGGGTCCATCAGCAGGAGACTCATAAATGCAGGTACACAAGGGAACTCTATGCAGCTATAAAATGAGGAAGCGTGCTATGTACTCATACAGAACAATCTCCAAGATACATTGTTACATAAGAATACTCTCCCATGCATGTGGGCAATGTCTACATTTATGTATCTTTGTAAATGCAGACACTCTGGGAAGATTTCTAATAACCTAGGGAAGGGAAGTTAGGGGAGGAAGAGGGGTAGAAGAAACATTTTTTGTTTTTGTTTTAATGTTTAATTAAGGCAGAGTCAACATACAACATTATATTAGTGTCAAGTGCACAACCTAGTGATTCAACAATTATATACATTATGCCGTGCTCACTACCAGAAGCAGATAAGCATAGTGACATTTGTCACCGTACAAAGTTATTACAATGGTATTGACTATATTCCCAATGCTGTACTTTTCAGGGGAGGAAGAGGTGCAAACTTCCAGTTATAGAATAAATAAGTCACAGAGATGAAAAGTACAGCAGAGAAACATTTCATTGAAATCCTTTTGTACTACAAGAATCTTAATTCACATGCAAATATTCACAAATTCACGAATACTTGTAGAATGAGATGGACATGAACTCATGCTATGGAGAGATGCCACGACACAAGAAAGGAAAACTAGTTAATATAAAAACTAACATTTGGCACACATCTGTCACTTACAATGTATTTCTAAGGACAGTGCTCCTGGAAGGTTTTATCCTAAAGAAATAATTAAGAATATTCACAAAGCTCTGCTCTAAATTGAAAACAGCCACGAAAAATTGGAAATAATCCAACTCTTCAACAATAGGGGATGATATAAGTACAATATAGCTCTATGATGACATATTATTAAAAATAATGTACAAAATATGTATAATATTTATAATGTACAAATCATGCATTAAAAACTTATAAAACTATATGTGTAGAGATGCACAGAAAAAGCCTTGGGAGGGTATATAACAAAATATGAGCAGTAGTTATCTCTGATAGTAAGATTATAGGTGGGTAAGATTACTCAGATTAATAATTATAATTAAGATTATTAATAATGAGATTAATAAATATTAAGATTATTGATGGAGATTTTTTCTATTTGCTTCTCTACAGCAAAACTAGAAAATATGAGGTATATGTATTACCTGCTTATTAATGGAAAAAATGTTTAGATGGGCTTGGCAAAATTTCTTTAACACCGATACTATCCAGTGTCACCAAGAATGAGAGAAACCATTGAGAATGCCACTGGAAGGCAATTTGATTTTTGTCTCAAAGTTTTAATAGTCTGACTTCTAGGAATCCACCCTACAGAAATACTTATATATGTGTGTACATGGGGATAAAGGCTGGCTCGTTACTGCAGCACAATAATTTTAAAGACTTGAAAAGGTAGATTGATACCTATTGACTTGGGAAAATCTCCAAGATTTCCATTTTCAGTGAAAAAGCAATCTGCAAAGGCAGCGTATACTATGATTACATTTATATTTTTAAAACTCTATGTGTGTTGGGGCGCCTGGCTGGCTCAGTCCGACGAGCACATGGCTCTTGATCTCAGGGTTGTGGATTTGAGCCCCACGCTGGGTGTAGAGATGACTTAAAAATAAAATCTGGAAAACCATGTTTAAAAAGGTACATTAACCGAGGGGTGCCTAGGGGGTGCAGTTGGTTAGGTGTCTGACTCTTGGCTTCAGCTCAGGTCGTGATCTCTGGGTGATGAGACTGAGCCCCATGTGGGGCTCTGTGCTCAGCACAGAGTCTGCTTAAGACTCTCTCTCCCTCTCCTTTTGCTCCTCTCCACCCCCTCCTCTCTCTCAATAACTAAAATCTTTTTAAAAATAAAAAGGTACATTAACCGAAAAATTAAGTATGGGGCGCCTGGGTGGCTCAGTTGGTTAAGCAACTGCCTTCGGCTCAGGTCATGATCCTGGAGTCCCAGGATCGAGTCCCGCATAGGGCTCCCTGCTCAGTGGGGAGTCTGCTTCTCCCTCTGACCCTCCCCCCCTCAAGTGCTCTCTCTCTCACTCTCTCTCAAATAAATAAAAAAATCTTTAAAAAAAAATAAAAATATAAAAAAAAGAAAAATTAAGTATGAATCACAGCATATGCATAGGATGGAATACTGTGTAAACTTTCAAAAACAAGGTAGATTTAGATATGAAAACTGTCTCCAACACTCTCTCTCTCTCTATTCTAGTAAGTTTCAGGACAAAAGAGATCTCAGAATTATAACTTTCTTTGCCGCACAGAAACAAAACCCCTGCAATTAACAGCAAATTGGATCGCTCAGACCCTGAGATCATGTCACCTATTACTGGCAGTAGGCATGCCTAGAAGCCTTGCTCCTTTGCACTGATTTAAGTTGAGGGCTTATTAGTAATTGCAAAAATAGAAGAGCACAATATAGAACCAGAGAAAGAGGATTCTACTGTAAAGTCTTTAACTGTTTTTTTCCATGCCCGCGTGTTGGAGAAAGAGGCAGCGTCAGGGAGGGGCTAGAACCTTGGGCACCAGAATCAGGCTAACCTGGGCTCCAGTCCCCACTGTGCTCCTCAGCAGCCAAAGGACCTCAAGCAAGTTTCAAAACTGCTCTAAACCTTGGTTTCCTCACCTGGAAACTGAAGGTTCAAGTGTACCTACTTCACAGGATTGTGGGGAGAGTTTTAAAAGGGATTATTCATGCAAAGCGGTGCTGAATGCATAGCAACAGTGCTGATTTTGCGCCCCATAAACTCACAAGCATCTGCCACAGTTTCCTTGGAGGGGTTATGCCCCAAATTTACTAACTCTCAGTACCAGAAAAAGTCTTTCTGATAAATTAAAATTAATCTGTTTCAAAATACATATTCTTTAAAAATCAAATGTATCCTTTCTCCAATGTTTAAAATACACAGGATAAAGTTATACTGCAAAGAAAGGTACTTTTAGTTGGGTTAAACTAAAAACTGTCTTCCTAACTCATATTTAAATCCTGATTCTGAAATTCATAGGATTTAAATCTAAGCAACTTACAGAAATTGCTTAAAAGGAATAAATGCTTACTTTATTAACTATACCTATAAATTTGGGATTTTTCCTAACTGGCCTTCCTCAAGATTTTCACCTAAATAAATACAGTTTTACTCTTTATTATTTTATGCCTGTATGTGCCCGTGTTGGATTTCAAAAATGGTGAAAGAAGTAAGAATGTGGTTTCTTGACATAAATAAAAACAATGTGGTTTCTTGACTTAAAGAAACAAAGAAAGCAGTGTCAAAGAAAGCCAGCGACATCATGTCTCCCATAACTTTATTTTTTTTTTAAGTTTTTATTTAAGTAATCTCTACACCCAGCGTGGGAGTTGAACTCACAACCCCGAGATCAAGAGTCACACGCTCCACCGACTGAGCCAGCTATGTGCCCCAGTCTCTCATATTTTTGAGTAAGCATTCATTGTCACAGAAGACTGAAAAACCAGACTGAGCCCTGATGCTGAATGGCAGGAGCCAGGGAGCCATGTCACAACCCTGCTCAAACACCCATTCTTGAAGAGCAGATCTCCCAAGTGTGGGTCACACTGATAACTTGAGGCATGGCATTGAGTGACAATGGGTCGCATAGTAAGCATGTTCTCTGTCCAAACCTCTCTTCAGCTATCTGACCATATATCAAGGAGACAGTCTCTGTCCAGTGATGCTATGTCTTTAACACCTCACGTGTTCTGATCTCTGTAACAGAGAGCAGGACATAGACTCCTAGCCTTGGGCAGGTAACAATAGTGAGCACAACGTAATAACGACACCACTGTTTTCTGTTTGTTGTTTTTTTTAAAGATTTTATTTATTTGTCAGAGAGAGAGAGAGAAAATACAAGCAGGGCGAGTGGCAGAGGAAGAGGGAGAAGCAGGTTCCCCGCTGAGCAAGGAGATGGCCGGGACTTGACCCCGGGACCCTGAGATCATGACCTGAGCTGAAGGCATCCCATGATACTACTATTTTTGTTGTGTTAATTTTCTTTCTTTTTTTTTTAAGATTTTATTTATTCATGTGAGAGAGAGAGAGAGAGAGAGCACAAGCAGAGGGAGAGAGAGAAGCAGACTCCCTGCTGGGCTGGGACCCTGATGCGGGGCTGGATCCCAGAACCTGGAGATCCTGACCTGAGCCAAAGGCAGAGGCTTAACCATCTGAGCCACCCAGGTGCCCCTGTTGTGTTAATTTTCTTGATTGCCTTCCATTCATGGCAAAGTGATACTAGTTTTCCATTACAATAGTTGTATAATGTTTATTTTTAAATACATGTATGTTTTTAAAAATTGAGTGGGTTTAAAGAACATACACATGGGGCACCTGGGAGGCTCAGTTGGTTAAGCATCTGCCTTCGGCTCAGGTAATGATTTCCATGTCCTGGAATCGAGCCCCACATTGTTGGGCTCCCAGTTCAGTGGGGAGTCTGCTTCTCCCTCTCCCTCTGCCTCTCCCCTGCTTGTGTTCTCTCTCTCTCTCTCAAATGAATAAATAAAGTATTTTTTAAAAAGAACATACACAGATACAGCAAAAAGCACAATGGTGGTGTCAAACTGAGTTGGGGAAACACTGTTCTATAGAACAACATTCAAATGCAGACATTATTCGGGGCTCAGCTGTAGTCCATTTCTCCTTCCTTACCTCTTTCATTTCCATG